ACATGTGAGAATATTAGGAGGTGTTATACAGGGTGTCTCTGTGTGTCACTGTGAGAACAGTTTGAAAAACATTAATCTCCTTCATCCTCTTACTTGCTCTCTTGCCTTCCTTAGCCTGAGTTTTCAGTCGGTGTAAATTGCCCATGAGAATGCAGTTATCATACCAACAATATACACTAAAGAACAGTGGGTCTCTTTCTTCAGGGAAGTTTCTACCTGGGAAGGCAGTATTCACTGTTCATCACTGGAAATATTGTACATGCAATTGAAAAGCAAGGATTTTGTTGGAGTAAGAAGTAGGTTGACTTAATAAGGAAGGACAGTTTTTCGATTGTGACAGAAAGCAAGATGGAGGTGAAGCTGTCTTTGGTAACTGCTTGGTGGGAGGAGTCTTTGTAGTCTTGGATTCTGGGAGTTGTGAAACAGGTGTGATCCATTGCTTGTGTGGAACAGTAAAATTTATTAAATAGCACTTGTAATGGATGTCTGGAAAATGGAAGTGGAGACCATAGTTACCTGGTTTTTGAGCCTCCCAGGATTCCTAGAAGGCATTTCTTATATATTATTTTAAAAAATAATACAGTTACAAATCTGAACATGTGGTGAATTCCCGAGCTATTTCTGCCGGTGCCTAATTAGGGTCACCACCTATTTGCAGTAATCCTCAAGGAGTGTATGAACCATCAAGTGATACTTTCTAGGCAGAGGGGAGGAGAGGCATTTCAAAGCCTGAAACAAGAAATTAAAGGCAATGTGGAATCCATGAAGGAACAATGGCCAAAATGTTTTACTATTGCTCCTGCATATCAAGGGTAAAGTCCTTTCCTGGAGTCCTTTTTTCAAGTGATGCTCCGTTGGGCCCTGAACATAATTATTTAGACAGCCCTTAGCTCCTAGGATCTTAGATGATGCAAGAATCCTTTAAAACAGTGGTTCCCCAACCTTTTTGGCACTAGGGACCGTTTTCATGGAAGACAGTTTTTCCATGGAAGGGGGCCATGGTTTTGGGATGATTCAAGTGCATTATATTTATTGTGCACTTTATTTCTACTATTATGTTGTAAAATATAATGAAATGATTATACAACTCATCATAGGTTGGGACCCCCTGCTTTAAAACCTATTTTGCTCCACTCCTGTCTTCAGGATTATGACACCTGGGCCCATCTGCGATGGCTTTTCCTGTTTTCACGTTACTTGAATAGTTATGGCTATGAGGGGCTCGTACATCAGATTATGGTTTAACCTTCTATTTTATAGGCTGATAGTTTGTCTGGGTTGTAGCTCCCCTGCTGTGATTTTACATGTGTATTGATAATGACAACCAGTGTGCAAGAGAAGACTGCCATTCAGATCTCAGGAACCTTGTTCCGTAATATGCTGAATGTTTAAGAAAGTGCCAGGTAGCTTATTATTCACTAGTGAAACACAATTCAGAGTAGGAAAGTCCTTTGTCAAAAACTTTTAAAAGTCACTTATGTCTTTAAAAAAGAGAGAAAGGAAGCACTTTTCCATGTCCACTCTAAACTGAAAACACTTTCAGGGCTGAGCGATCTTAAAGAGCCACCCATGATGCTGCCCTGAGAATCAGAGAGTAAGGCTGCTCTTTCCAGTCAGATCTGGGGAACAACCTGCTTATCCTGCAGACCTGGTCCCTACTGGATAATCAGAGAGTCATCGTCCGTGTTAAATTGATCCCTTACATGAGTGAAGCTAAAGCACTTCCATTTCCATGCCTCTTTGCTCTCCCAGTGACCTATGCTTGACAGAGTTGTTGAGACCTGGACACGTGATTCCAGGGTCACACTTAGCGGGAGAGGAGGGAGGATGGGGTGAAGGAGATATGCTTTCTGTCAGCTTCATTTCCTCTTTGGTTCTAGGGACACTCCCACCAACCCCCATCCCCAGGCCTACCTTTTTCCTCATTGCTCTCCTGCCCACCTAACATCTCCATACACCTGGCTCCTTGAATAGAAAGGGAATATGTGTGTGGTTAGGAAGAAATTAACTTTTCCTTGTGCATTTTTTCCTGAGTTTGACTATACAAAGAATGTTACAAACTTAATTTTGGATTATAGGTGTTTGCACACCTGTAAGGTAGGGATGGGCAGGGCAGCAAAGCTAGAATAGATAAAATCTACACATTGAAAAACCAGCTTGAATAATTAAGAATTCTCGTATATATCTAAGAACAACTGATTTAAATACTTTGTAACAAGGTGGGGCATAAGTAAATAAACAAAGATAGGATAAGACCCTTGGACATGTTTTTCTTTGTGAGTCAAATTGAGAAATAAGGTTTTCTCATTGGTAGCTGTGGTGGGAACAGCCCATCCCACTATTGAGGGATGCTCTGCCTATAGATAGTGATGGGAAAATTCACACCTTAGCAGGTGAATCAGAACCAGCTTCAGCTTTGATGCTAGGCTGAGCTGGATGTAGTGCAGATATTTACTGAAAATCAGGTGGATTTTTATTTCCTGAGTTTTTAAAGATTATGTGGGAGCTTTGACAAAGGAAAAAGAATGCTTGTCCTGTGTGTGGCATGTTTGTTTCTGTGAAGTTTATTAGTGGTTAAAGCAGCATATTGGCTGTGCAGGTATTGTGCCGTGTATTATAGAAACAGCCTTGGGCTTCAGTCTGGACTTTGTTGCGTTTCAACCTTGGACAAATTGACAATTCTCTCAGGATTTCTGACTTCATTTCTCCATCTGCAAAATGGTTCTTATTGAGCCCTCAGTACTGTTCACAATTCTTAGCAGATTCAGCCCCTGCAGACTGTTGCTCTTTTTTATTTGTGTTTCCATTGGGAGCTCAGGAATGAAATCTTCAAAGAAAACCATCTGTGTGAAAGGACTTTGAGAATTGTAACATGTTATATTTGTGTGAGGTTAAAAAACACACACACAACAAACTTCCTGAGAGGGAATCTTCTGACAACATAACCAATAAGCAACAAATGAAAAAGTACTTACTGGTCCAGAATGATTGGGGAGAAACCTGCCGGGAGATGGGAGGGGTTGGTCTGCGTGACAGGATGGAGGATCCTGGGAGTTCCCTTTTTTGATTCCTCAGAGGTGTCAGGCCTTTGCTTTTCCCTGCTTTGGTTAAGAAACACATTTATATCTGTGCACTAGTTTGTCCTTTTTGTGACTGGTCTTTGTATTTGATTTCTCTTAGTGTTTCCCTTCCATTACTCACTAACAGAATCTACTTTAAGCACTCAATTGTGATTGTGCTGAACTTTTTGTTTTCTCCTTTTTCTATAGAGCTTATTCCCCTTGAAAGGCCTTTAAAATGTATGTAACATGCCAGGCACCTAAAGATTAAAATTATTTAGGTAGAAACAATGTATAATTATAAATAGATCTGTGACACTAAATACATTTTGCTAATCCTCAAAGTTCAAGTAATGATACTTTCTAGCTTTCTACAAAGCATCAGAGGTATAGGTTCTTTCTGTCTGCTCTTCCAACTCAGACTAGCTAAAAATGAGCTCTTGGTGCCTAGGAGGCTCCCCCAAGTCACTAGGAGCCTGGGTTAAGGGTGTAAGAAAAACCGCTATCTGTCCCCGCCACCCTCCACGGAGCTTTTCTGGAGCTGGAGGTTGAATTGTAAATCAGGTCTGTCTACTTCACAGATAGTCACTCAGCTCTAGTTGTGTGCCAGGCACTGTTCTGGGCCCTGAGTGTGCAACACTGAGCAGAGCATGAACTGGGACCTGTAGGGTGATGCCAAGTGAACAGCTCACCTGCTTGTCTCTGAAATCCATAGTCCTCTCTTGCCTCTACGACTGAAGGGAGATCTTAAAGCAAGATGGCAAATGAGCACAACTCTTGGATTGTATTAAGTAATTTCTTTTTCCTTTCCTCCCCCTCCCACCCTCTCCCCTTGTCTTTCTGTCTCTCTTTTTTAAGGGCAAGATTGTGATTCATACTCTAAAACAGGAGGGTGATAGTGCTGACCAGGAAGTGACAAGAAAGGCCATCTTTGGCACTGGAGTCTTCCAAATACCTGGCTTCCTTTTAGAGGGTTACAGAGAAGGAAATATCATTGAGGTCAGTCTCCTGTGCAGACACAAGACTCAATAACATTGCTTATGAAACAAAGCATTATATATAGACTAGGTCTGAAGTGAATCAGGGCCTGTGTCCACAGGGTGGATTTATGCCAGGAAATAACATCAAGGTCCATCAAAGTTGCTCTGAGGTAAATTGCTACCTCCATTACTCTTCCCTGGTCCGAAGCAGTTATTTAGTGGTGGAATGAGGCATTTTCCATGGTGGGCAGTGTAGGCACCAGGCCCAGGAGATGATTCCAGGGTCCTATAAACAAAGCATGGGTTAATCCTCCCACGACATACACCATCATTCTCCTAAAGCATGTTTGCCTGCGATGTCTTGGTTCCTAATATACAGATAGGAGCTCTATAGTGTCTGGATTTCCTTCTGTGTAGAGCCATGGGTAGGGAGAGGGGGATCTGCTTTCTATTGGCTACTTCATTTTATTCGACAAATATTTACTGTGTTTCTGCTGTTAATCAGGACCTGCTGGGGTCTTTTACTAGGGTGGAAGTGGGGGAGACAACAGATATTTTTATTTTTTGGAGGGATAAGGGACATATAATAAGTGAATGTATTTGATTCTTTTGTGCTTTCAAGTTCATAGGAATGCTTCTGTCCATGTGATGTCTGAGTCCTTTGGGTCTGGGTCTGGAGGTCAATTTTGGATCCACTAAAGAGCTAGTGAAAAGTCATTGAATCAGACCTTTTCTTATGAAAGTGCAAGTGCTCCCTGGGACATGAGTGTATCACTCTTGTATGTGAGGGCAGTACAAGTAGTCCTCACCATCTGAGTCTGTGTGGTTCCCGAATTGCTGTTGCAAGCTCAGATGCCATATTATCAGGATCTCTGTGGTTTCTGAGTTTTGGATAATAATTAGGAAGAAATAGAATGTTAAAGGACATCAGCCATATCTCAAAGTATCCAAGTTTGTTCAGTGTCTGTGTTTGGATAGTGAATATTGGCTCAGTGAGAGTTCTGGTGGCATGAGATACCCAGATGTCCCCAGTGTGCAGGAGGGACAGCAACCAATGCTCACTTGTACACAAGGCTTCTTGGAGGTGTGCATGGAGTTGGTCAGATTTTGCTGGGCAGAGGAGGGCATAGATTGTGGGGATGGTTTATGAGCAAGGCACAGAGAAGAGGCCTTGATTTGGGTTTGTGCACTGACAGCACTACAGAATTTAGGGAGGTGCTTGTGATGATACCCGAGTCTGGAAAGTTCTGGGAAGCCCATAGACACTTACGCAGTTCTCAGATTAGTGTTCTTGAGGAAGCAATGCAGTGTGGAGAGGCAGGGTGTTGCAATTCTCAGGAGAGGGAATGTGGGTGGTGCTGGGTTAATCTTGAGGATTCTGTGGAGTCGCTGAGGAGCCTCTTTTCTCCCAGGGAGTGAGACCAAGGGTTTGCCAGCATCAGGTGGGAAAGCTTAGCTGGGATTTGAGGTGACTGCAGCCTGGACCAGAAGGACTGCCTTTCAGAGCGCTGTGTGTGTGTGTATGTGTATAGAGGGTTTTTTTGCACCAATTTTTAGTTATTGCTCTAATCATGGAGCTCTTCTTGCCACCTACACTACAAATTGTCTTCAAAACTTAAATTGGATTAAAGTGAATAGTTTTCACCTGGTGTTTGTCTACATTTCAGTTGATTCAGCAAACACTGAATCAACTGTTAGTAAAATATGCTTGTGATGTCAGATTTATTGATGGAACAAGAATGATTTAACAATTGGAAAAATATTAATATTTAAATTAAAGTTGCCATGTTTACTGTCTGTTGAGTAAGAGTGTGGGTTTAGGAAGCTGACTTGGTGGGGGTGGTTTTAATTTCAGCCTTGTCATTCCTTCCTATGTGACCTTGGGCAAGTTATTTAACCTCTCTGGGCCTTATTCCTTTGTATATAACAATGAGCTTAATAATAGTACCCATTTCGTAAAGGTGTTTTTGTTTTCATTTTGTTTCTGTTTTTGTTTTTGTTTTTTGGTCTTGTTCTGTTGCCTGGGCTGCAGTGGTATCATCATAGCTCACTGCAGCCTCAAGCTCCTGGGCTCAATCCATCCTTCTGCCTCAGCTTCTTGAGTAGCTGGGACTGCAGGTGCATGCCACCATGCCCTGCTAATTTTTACATTTTTTGTAGAGACAGGGTCTTGCTATGTTGCTCAGGCTGGTCTTGAACTCCTGGCCTCCCATCTTGGCCTCCCAAAATGCTAGGATTATAAGTGTGACCTACTGTGCCTGGCTGCATAGAACTTTTCTGAGGCTTAAATGAAATAGTAATATAAAGCACATAGCCTGTCTGACACATTGTAACCACTTGATAAATGTTTATAAAGAAAGAAAAGGGAAAGAGACCAGATGACCCTCAAAGCTGCTTGACACCTAGAGCTCTCTTGTATTAAGTGAGCTTTGTATGGCAGAGGGAGCAAACTGAGTGTTGTGGGAAAACCTTGGACCCAAGATGGATCCAGTTCTGGTTCTGCCTTTGACTAGGGGGGCTCTATGCAAGCCACTTCAGCTGTCTGTATCTCAGTTTCCTAATCTGTGAAATGAGATGTGACATGATGATGAGGAAGAAGACAGTGATGACAGCTAATAGGTAATGAATGCCAGGCACTGTGCTAAGTACTTTGCATAGCTTATCTCATTGAATACTCATAAGTACCTTGTGAGAAGATATTAATAGTATCACTGTGTTACAGATGGGAAACCGGAGCTCAGAAGTTTAGTTATTTGTCCAGGGTCACCTCACTAGTAAAATTAAAATTGGTCTCATCTGATAGTTTATGATTCTATGTGTGTCTGATGTTAATAGTTTATACATTAACTGCCTTCTGTTGCATTTAATTTTCAGATCATAATTACATTTTGGCCAATGCTTTATGGGTTGTTTTAAGGAAAACACTTGAGAGTAAGTGTGGGATTTAAGGCTAAATTGTAGTTAATAAGTATTTATGGAGTGTCTAGGTATTCCTGGGGAAGTAAATAGTGGTTTTCCCCTCACCCTTATTAAATAAAATCTTATCTGAGCTGCTTTGAACTTGTGCAAAGCAAAGCTGTGTGTAAATACTGCAGTGTAGAGGCTTTTCTCAGCAGAGCTCTCAAATGAGGCCCTCAGCAGCCAAACATTTAGGTGGAAGAACAGGTACGCTTTGCAGCTGGAATCACCAGCTGGTTGCAGGCTTTTCTTAACCACACCCCTAGGTGATGCTCAGGTGTTGGGGAAAGCTGGCAACTTCCCATTTGTTAGTGCTAGGGAGCAACAGGGTTGAGGCTCTGCAAACTTGAGCCGTGAGTCTTGGGTTGGTGTTTGCTCTTTCATCTCCAACTTGCTTTCCCAAAGTCCACTTTTAGCTATAGTATGGTGTAGGCAATTTTTCCATGTTTGGGAGACTCACCCAAATATAGAATTTGGTCAGTGACTTGGCAAGGGTAGCATTTGACCCTCCTTTCCTGGCCTTGACCTATACAGGTGATCTGGCTTTTACATTTGGGGAAAAGGTGAGGTAGTGACAGACAACTTGGACAGCTGCTTTTAGATAACCTACTTTCTTTTAGGTAGTTAAAGTGCTGGTTTCAGAAGTCACATGAGTATCAACAAGTACAATAGTGTGCAGTTTTTCCTCCATGGAGGGCTTGGGAAGTAGTCACTGGCTGGATTTGTACTGAGGATTCATGTTTGCCTCCGCCTGTGAAAGTGATATGAGGAAGACATTCTCTGTGCTGTTTTATTACTTATAGCAAGAACTGTTGTGGCCATTCCAGTTCTCCGACCCCAGAGTTAGAATGTGAGTCAGCAAAATTTGAGCTAGAGTTCCGTCTAATCATCTGTGTATCTTTTAACCACTAAGATTTATATTTAGTGACTAATGATCTTGTGCTAGAAGTGCCATCTCCCACACAAGTCCCCTAAGAAAACCGACTCTAAGGGCTCTGACTTGGAAATCAATCTCCCCCCACCCTTTTTCCTGCAGAATTTGCTGTCTTGGTATCCCATGGCTTGCTTTACTGGGCCCTGGAGCCCCATCGCCCATGTAAGCAGAGCACTCAGCCATCGCTATTTCAGGTAACTTTTCCTATTAAGTTCTTAAAACTGTGTCTTTGAGTAAGCCTCCCATCAGGGCTGGGTATTACAGTGATTAGAATGGGAGTGGAAACTCGGGGATGTGGACGTGGGGTTGGGGAAGGCTAAAGGAATCAGGCTGAGCTGGGGTTTGGTCAGTTCACAGGGCGGGGGATAGGTAAGGAGGTGTTGTTGCTGTTGGAGATGGGATAGGTAATGGCATATGGTAGAAGCTGCTAGTTTCCAGTCCTCACAAGACTCTTGTAGTAAATCTGACATCCGTGGACACTATCATTCCCCTGGTGCGTTAAAACCCTCCCTTTTAAAAATGGAATATTTTAGTAATTGCAAAATTGTTACATGCTTATTACCAAAAACTTGAGCACGATAGAAATGTGACACCGTCCCCTTCTTTCATATGGTAAGCCAGGATGGTGAGCATGGGAGGCATGCCTGTTGGCAGGTATGCCTCCTGGCCTCATTCATGCTGTCATCCCACAAAGGTGTTTACTGAGCACTGCCCCTGGTGTTGGTCATAAAGAGATGAATGAGAATTGCTCCCTTCCCTGAAAGAGTGCTCACTGTTGGCCACAGGAGCAAACTTAAAAATACATAACCTAAGAAAATGTGACAATGGCCTGCCTGCACGGCGGCTCACACCTGTAATCCTAGCACTCTAGGAGGCCAAGGCAGGAGGATTGCTTAAGGTCAGCAGTTCAAGACCAGCCTGAGCAAGAGTGAGACTGCCATCTCCACAAAAAATAGAAAAAATTAGCCAGACATGGTAGCACATACTTGTAGTCCCAGCTACTCAGGAGGCTGAGGCAGGAGGGTCACTGGAGCCCAGGAATTTGAGATTGCAGTGAGCTACGATGACACCACTGCAGTCTAGCTGGGGCAACAGAGTGAGATTCTATCTCAAAAAAAAAAAAAAAGTGACGACTATAACAACAAAGGTTTGTATGGGTCTTTGGAAGGCCTTAGAGGGGAGCTGCTAATGCTGGAGGAGGAAGAGAGGAGAGTGGAGGCAGCTTTCCCAGAAGAGACGTGGGAGCAGATCCTGTCCAGGCCTTCAGGGAGGATTGAGAGGTGGGGTGTACTTGGAGAACTCCAATAGTTCTTGGCCACTGGTGCACAGTGTCGATGTGTGAGTGATAAGATGTGTGACCTCAGAAAGCAGGTAAATTGGGGCCACGTTGTTGACAGTACTGAGATTGGAAAACCGTCAAACAATTCTAAGCTGGGGAATGGCATCAGTTTTATATTCTTTTTTTAATTAATAAATTTATTTTTAAAAATTGGGATGGAGTCTTGCTATGTTGCTCTGGCTGGTCTTAAACTCCTGGGCTCAGGTGACCCTCCTGTCTCAGCCTCCTCAGTAGTTGTGATTGCAGGCATGTGTGTTTGGCCTTCAGCTTTATATTCTGAAGAGAGCTCTTTGTCAGCAGAGCAAGGTGCAGTGGGAGCCAGTTAGGACACTAATGTCACAGTCTTGGTATAGGAGAGCAACCTGCTAAATGAAGGACATTGTCAGCAGGGGTGGAGAGGAAGGACATAGGTGCTTAGGAGGTGGTATCAACAGGATTGGGCAGCCAGTGGGTGCTGGTGGAGAGAGAGGTTTATGGCTTGGGAACTGGAGTTTCTGGAGAAGCTATTATCTAGATACCAAATGCAGCAGCAGGAGGAGGTTTGCAAGGGGAGGCAATGAGGTCAGTTTAGGCCCTACTGAGTTTGCAGTAACTATAGGGCATGTTGTAGGGAGTACAGGAGAGTGCAACTGTATGGGACTAGAGTGTAGGAAAGGGATGGGGCTGGAGATGGACCATACTGGCCGGCAGCCATGGGAATGGACAAAGTTGCCCGAAGTAGGCATGTAGAATCCTCTCCTAGGATTACCCTGGAGAACACCAGCACTTATGGCCCTAGCATCAGGAAAATAGAAATCCCGTTGTAATCACCTTGCTTCATTATACCTTCTCTCCCTTTAATGGGTCGGTATTCTTTAAAAAAATTTCTGTCTAGTGGGGAAAACCATATTAAAACAAAAAATTGTTACCTTATTTCCAGTTTCTGCTACATTGTGTAAAGGGACTCCCTTAGTGAACTTAACTCTCTTGTCTTCCAGTTCCCAGCAACATATATCTAAGAAAATTTGGGAATGAATGCATTCTGGGGAAGCAGGTTTTACAGGATAGGCAGTGGGTGATGCCTGGCCCATGAGGGATTCCTTTAAGTCTTCAGAGTCCTTTTGGAAACTAAAGGCTGTAAGTTAATGCTGCTATGAAGTTTGTCGTAACAGAAAAATTGGGTTCTCTTTAAAACCCATCCAAACTGAGATCTTGACAGGACAGCAGAAGCTCTCAATTGTAAGGAAACTGTTTTTGGTACAGATACGTCTTCACAAAGTCCTTTCTGTTGAGGCTCTGGGGTTGTACTCTGCTCAGCATGTATGTGTGTGTTGCTAACATGTACTCTCACCCTAGCCTTGTCCTCTCTGAGGCCCGTGCTCCCCGATCAGGGGAGACACAGATTGCAAACTTTTTTTTTCTCTCCTGCCAGCACCACTGGGAGCCTCAGTGCAATTCAGAAGATGACGCGGGTGCGAGTGGTGGACAACAGCGCCCTGGGGAACACCCCATACCATCGCCCTCCTCGGTGCATCCACGTCTATAACAAGAGCGGGGTGGGCAAAGTGGGCGACCGGATACTGCTGGCCATCAGGGGACAGAAGAAAAAGGCGCTCATTGTGGGGCATCGCATGCCTGGCCCCCGAATGACCCCCAGGTTCGACTCCAACAATGTGGTCCTCATTGAGGACAATGGGAACCCTGTGGGGACCCGAATTAAGACACCCATCCCCACCAGCCTGCGCCGGAAGGAAGGCGAGTATTCCAAGGTGCTAGCCATTGCTCAGAACTTCGTGTGAGCAGAGCCCAGGCATCTGGTTGCAGGGGGCTCGTGAATGGAGCAGTTCTGAGAACTGCACCTTTGCTGAGGGAACTTGGGAACCACATGGCTGCCCCCTCCCTGTGTTGGGTAGCAGTAACAGTGTCTGTGAGAGAATAAACATTTTCGTGTATGTTTTCTTCCTGAGAGTTCTGGGGTGTGGTTGGGAGGTAAATGATATTGCAGCAGTTAAAAGGTGGCCAACCCACATCAGGGCATGCAAGCATGGAGTATCCTTCGTGCCGGGGTCTGGGTCCTTTTCTTGTTTGGGCCTTATGATATGAGTTTATCCAGGACTATCAGGCCCTGAAAAACTGAGGTACAAACCAAATGCCAATTTATGAATGTTCCATGGAGTCTGTCATTTTCTAACCAAAAGATTTTTGCTTTTTATTTTTCTCATCCAAAATATCCTCTTTCTATGTTAAAGGGCTTGAGACTTTAAATGGTTATAAAGATTACTGGGTTATTATGGAATAAGAGCACAGGGGCTTATTTAATCTAGTAGAACATTTCCTTTATGGAAATCCTTTCTGTACTCTGGAGTGTCTGCTGGAACGTTCCTGTGTGCCCGGTAGCAAAGCTTCCTCCCTGGACTGCTGGAGAAATGGACATGTCCTTGTATTTTGCACGTGATACAGTCTTGGGCCTGTGCAGGTGATTCAGTGAAAATTATTTTCCATTCATTTGTTGGTCTGCTTGGGAAGATTTAGAGGCTCCCTTAGTTCCTTTAGTGGAATCTCATCAACTCATTTATAAATTTATTCATTTAAAATACCTTAGCACTTATTAAATATCTCAGTGGCCTCTGAGAATCAGCATAGTGTAACGATTAAGAATACAGGCTCTGTAGCCAGACTGCCTGGGTTTGAATCCTGACTTTCTGACTTACTGCTTAATGAATGTGGGCAAATTATTTTACTTTTCCGTGGCTTGGTTTCCTCACTTGTAAAATGGGGATATAATAATCATACCTACTTGATAGGGTTGGTGTGAGGATTAAATGAGTTAGTATCTATAAAGTGCTTGAACAGTACTTGGCAATAATAAGCACTCAGCAGTATTGGCTATTTCCTGTTACCATGACTGCATGGGCCAGCACTGAGAAAACAAAGGTGAGTATAAGCAGGTGTGGCCCTTGCCCTCTTGGAGCTTATAGTGTCCCAGGGAAAACAGACATGAATCAAATAATTCTTCAAACAAATGCAAAACCCCAAGTGTAGCAAGGACCTATGATAAAGGAGAGTTTTTTTACTGGGGTTAGAGGTAACTTCCCTGAGAAAGGGTCACATCAGATGCAGTCTGAGTATAGGTATTGTGATGGAAGTCAAATACTTTATGCCTTAGCGAAAATAAGTGAATAGGCATTAGCTAAGTGGGAGAAGAGGGGGAAATGTCGTAGGCATAGGGAAGATCACATACATAGACGCTGTGCCAGGAGGGAATGGGATAAGTGCCAAGGACTGAAAGAAAAAGCTAATATGGCTGGAGCAGGGAGTAAGGAGCATGGTGTGAGATGAAGCCGAAAGGGAAGCAGGGTCTCATGAGCCCCACATTTTTCTCCTACTGAGGATACTGGGTTGGTGCTGGAGGGGAGATGTGATTAGATTTACTCTGCAGAGAATGGCTTGGGGAGGCCAGAATGGATGAGTGTGGGCTTTGCAGTAGATGATGTGGACTAGGGAGGTGGTGGAGGGAAGTGGGTGCCATTAGGTGGTACAGTCGACTTGGCTTGGTAATGGGTGAATACGGTGGCAAAGGCCAAGGATAGGTCCAAGGTTTTTGGCTTCCGCGCCTGGATGGTTGTGCTGAACACTGAGCTAGAATGCTCTAGGAGAGGCCCGAGGATGGGGAAGGAGCAGCAGTTTCGGGCAAGCTGAATGGAGGTGGCCTTGAGATATCCAAGGGTTGTCAAGTAGGCAGCTGGGTATCAATCATCTCTTAAATTGGAGTAACAGTATATTTTGAAAACATTCGTGTATATGTATGATCTTGGTGTTCCTTATAGTCCTTGGATTTTGTAGGCGTTGGTCCCATTTTTTAGATGAGCACACTGAGTTTCAGAGGTAATGTCATTTTTCAGGGTCCTACAACTAACAAAATGGTAAAGTTGGTCTCAAAGCCCGGTCCTGTGACTTCCAATTCAGGGTCTTCCTACAGTAATATTGGGTCTACCTTTTGTGGTTGATGAATTCTTCCCATCTTGACCTAGTTCATGCTAGCTGTGATCCTAGAGGCTGACGTTCTTATTTTTCTGAATTCTGGGGGCACACCTTGGAATCTGTTGCCCGCTAAACCTTGGCAAGGAGGCAGAGGCTCTTGGTTTTATATCTTGCAGTGGAGGAGTGTGCTGCTCCCCAGGGCTCCTCTGACTAAGCTTGATTCATGGTACTCTGGGTTCTTTAGGAGTTAATACCCCTCTCCATCTGGCCCTCAGGAAGGGCTTAGAACCTGAGGCTGACATGCTCTGCTGCAGTGGTTCGATGTGGGTAAGGAGGAGGAATCACACCAAAACCCAGGCCTGCTTTGTCAGTGGTGAGAATTTCCAGCTGCAGCAGCTGGTACTCAGCAGGCTGTTAGTTTCCCTGCTTTTTGTGCTGCTTCCCAAAGGCTGTGGGAGGAAGAGACCCCTCGCCCAGGGCAAAGGAAAGGTGGAATTGTTATTCTCAGCCTGGTCCTCCGTGCTCAGGGGCTGGACCTTGCTCTGACCAAAGCAGCTTGACCCGAGCTGCCCTCAGGCTTCCTCAGTCACTTGCTTTCTGGGGTCGGGCTTACTTCTTCCTCTGCCCTTAGTCAGCAGGAAGCATTTTCTTCCTTTCACGTGCTTGCAGGGTGCTGGCTGCTCTGCTGCATCCCCTCACCCGCCTTCCTGCTGTTGAGGTTCACGAAAATCATTCAAGTGACTCTCCTCTCTGTCCTTGCTGTCCCCTCCTCTGGTCTTCTGTGGACTTAAACCCTCCTCCCAAGGTGTTCTGTGTTGACCGCCGAAGGCTGTGGTTTCAACAAAGCCGGGTGGCCAGGGCCTGTGACGCAGGCCCTCACAGCACAGCCCAGAATAGCCTCAGCTCTGCTGCCTTTCCAGCTGCCCTATCACTTTGCAAGCTGGGATCTAATTTGCTGTCCACCCTCTCCACCCCAGTCTCTCAGCCAGTACCGCTTTCTTTGCCCATGAAATATTTATAATCACAGATTATGTTTCCCTATGAGTATAAACTTGCTTTTGTTTTTTTCCCTTCTGTGCCCTTAAGAAGCTGCCCCTGACAGGTCAAAGTGCCTCATCACTCTGGGTTCATGGACTTCATCACAGTTTCTATAACTGAAGTGTCCAGTTCCTCCCATGGTTTGACTCCTTATGCTAGACCACTGCCGAAGAAATGTGAGAGAAACAGCTCTAGGTCAGCGGTTGTGGTTGGGAGTCCTCGGTTCCAGTTGGGACCCTGCTGCTTTGTGGCTTTGGGCAAGCCACAACCTTGTGGGGAGCTGGAGCTTACTGCATGAGGGCTTGGTGCTCAGGAGATCCGGCTAGCAGGTGTGCCTCCTGAGGACCAGCCACCTTGGAGGGCATGCCTTGGCTACAGATGGAGACTTGGCCGAAGTGTGTGCAGAGGCCATCCTGCCACCATCCACCCTTCTGAAGCTAGCCATCTCTGGCAGAGGTGTGCCAGCCACTTCCTGTGTAACAGGTGGTTTCCTCCTGAAATTCTTAAGCCCAGCCTTTAATGAGGGCAGCAGCCACTATCAGGCAGAATTCACCTGAGGTGTGCTTCCTCCTGTGTCAGAGCGAGGAGGAGAGCCCCTCCTTCAGCAGGGAGCCGGGGCAAGGTCCCACCGTGCGGGCAGGAGCCCTGCAGCTTCTACCCTGATCTCCCCTGTGCACGGCCTCCTCGTCCTTGCTCAGTCCCCTCATGGCCACTCTTGGCCTCTTCATGTTCCTTCATGTTCTTGACAGAAATTGCATGATACTGGGATCAATTGCTTAACTGAAATTCAAATCTGTACCAGAAGCTGCCTTTCTTTTCTTCCTCTAGTTTTGTAATTCAATCTTTCAAAAAAAGGTTGTGGGACTTTGTTTTATTCTTTCCCACCTGGAGGATGGTTATGGATCACAATTCAGTTCTTCTTGGCATTTTGGACACTTACTGAATTATTTAGCCAAATATTAGTAATTTTCCAAATTATTTGGGCTTCCTGAGTTTAAAGCAGTGATGAGTTTGCTTCTCAACTTTCAGCATCAAGCCACTGGTTCCCAGCCAGATTCGAGAACAGTGATAACCTGTTGTAATTTGCTTGATATTATGACAAGATATCTCTTAAGACATAGCACAGGTTTTTTTTGTGTGTGTTTTTTTTTTTGAGACAGAGTCTCACTGTGTTGCCCTGGCTAGAGTGCCGTGGCGTCAGCCTAGCTCACAGCAACCTCAAACTCCTGGGCTCAAGCCATCCTCCTGCCTCAGCCTCCTGAGTAGCTGGGACTACAGGCATGCACCACCATGCCTGGCTAATTTTTTCTATTTTCAGTTGTTTGGCTAATTTCTTTCTATTTATAGTAGAGACGGGGTCTCGCTCCTGCTCAGGCTGGTCTCGAACTCCTGAGCTCAAGCAATCCTCCTGCCTCGGCCTCCCAGAGTGCTAGGATTACAGGTGTGAGCCACCGCGCCCAGCCATAGCACAGGTATTTTTAAAATGAAAATTAAACATTTTATTTTGAGAATTTCACAGGAACTCTTGAATAATTGTGATACTGTTCTCTTGGATATTATGAAACTTTGATTGGCAATTGATTTGAAGCCATATGTTTACATTCCAAATAGAGGCGGCTCTTGGTCAGTCAGGACTGATGATCCAGCGTGTGATCAGAGCCACCCTCTCTGCTCCCCACTATGGGCTCCTTGATGACTTGCACCAGCTCGGAAGGGGCTGCCTGGCACAGGAAGAGGAGGGAAAGAGAGACCTCTTCTCCCAGGGGCTGGCCTTCTCAGGGTTGCTGCACCTGGCCTCCGGTGAATTTCCCGGCAGGTGGTGGGCAGTGCTGCCCCATCCCCATAAGCTAACCCAGTGCCCTTCCTGGCTGGCCACAGCTGATGACCGCAAGGAGGCAGGCACGCACAGGCTGGAGGGGAGCTCTCATTTGTCCTTGTG